AACCAGGCTCAGTGTGAGCGGCCATCTGCTGAGGCCCACTGGGGTTCAAGGAGACAGAAGCAGACATAGAAAAAGAAGCATAGATACAATGTTTATTGTGCTTATAAATCATAATTTGAGATTTACAGACCTGGATTATGCGACCTCTGCTTTTAGTTTTCTTCAAAATACATGCAAAATATTTTTCATAGGGGGTTCCGTCATAAAAAATGAGCTGCTTTAACTAGCATCTCAGATTTGCTGTGTTAAAGCTGTATGTATTATATGTAACCTAATAAGGAAAGAGGGTCGGGGCAAAAAATAAGCTTTTTTTCTTCTGCCTTCTCCTTTTTGGGCATCATCAAATATATTTTGCCATCTGTCTTCCAAACTCTTTACAAACCTGTTGCTCAAATAAAGATGATGCTAATGATGTGTAATAGAGGAGTGGTTTGATCTGTGGCCTGGTGTCATGCTCCTAAATATATCCCCAAGAGGGCTGCAGGTGCACAGTAACAGAGCGGGGGGGGGATCATGCAGCAGATACATAGTGTACCTTTGAGACATGTCTTCCCTCTCATGTCTTCCAGGATTTAAACACTGAGATTCAGCTTACTGTATTCTAATTTGATCAAAATGTTGCATGTTTCCAAAATGAAACTGCTGTGATTTCATGTTTTTTTTTCTTTGATGTCGGATATTTTCTCCATTATAGATCAGATTTATGGTCCAAACCAGACATCTTCCTTTTATTTTCCACCTCTCCTCCATTTGCTGCTCATATATCTTACTTTCCTAGAAAGGGAAGAGATGAAATACGATGCATCTCCAGTTGCTTCCTCCTCCCTGCCCCCCCCCTTCCTATTACACTTAAAGCCCAGCCTTGATTTCACACCTCTAACAGTTTTTATTAGACTACACGCTGGTTTGAATACTAACAGTATTTGACAAACATTTTAAAATCAAATTCATATGTTTTCTGTGATATAAATGTTTTACATAATTTTTTTTTTCATCACAATTGGTATATTAGATAGGCGTGGTTTGTGCCCGTTTTATTGCCCTGAAACAATTAATTGGAATAATTGTCAACTAATTTAGTAATTGATTAATCGTTAACAGGAGTTTACAGACTAAAACATGCCTTTAGCTGACAGAGCGACCCACTTAGATGAGCAATTATACCACAATTGTAAAAGGAAATATGTAAACATTTTGAACTTTAGATAAAAATCCTTTCCATCTGTCAATATGCTCTATGCAGAACTCCTAAAGAGGAAACGTTTTAGTTTCACCGGGTTTAATTTCACAGAGAAAATCTTCTTTAAGGAACCTTTTGTTTTCTGATTATTAATCGCATCATTTTAAAAAATAATTGGCAGATTAATCGATTTGCAAAAATAATCGTTAGTCGTCAAAACAAGACGTCTATTAAATGAAAAGTGTTAATGTTATAGATCACCTGATGGATCATCTCTGCCTTCAGTCTTTTAGCGAAGGCCTGGTTCTCCTCCTGCAGCAGAGTGTCGCAGTGAGCTGGTTGCAGATATTTTTGATTTCTGCCCAATATTGAAGCGTGGTCTGCGCTATGTTATTCCACGCCACAACTCCAGAGGGCCAATCAGGAACTAGCTGTGGGTCTAGATACGGTTGCGGCGGCGAGGAAGTGGGGGCCAGTTTGTGCTACAATGGAGAGACATGAGGGCCAAAAAGAGCGGAGATCCAGGTGGATCTTGTGAAACTGGGAGATGTGGAATCTGACTGGCAGGAGACTGTCTGTGGAGTACCACAAGGATCAGTATTAGCACCAGTCTTATTTAATCTCTATATAAATGATATCAGTAAAGTGTCCAATGTATTAAAATTTATCTTATTCGCTGATGTCACAAATATTCTAGCCTCTGGCGACAATTTAGAACATCTTCTCTCAACAGTCACCTCAGAGATTAGTAAGTTAAAGATATGGTTTGACAATAATAAATTATCATTCAATTTGGACAAGACAAAAATCATGGTTTTTGGGAACTGTTACAAAAATACTGAAATCCAAGTTCAAATAGAGGACGTAACTCTAGAAAGGGTATTTGCTAATAAGTTTCTCGGCGTAATAATAGATGACAAAATCAGTTGGAAACCTCATATTAAACATTTACAGGGTAAACTCAGTAGAAGCATATCTATATTGGCTAGAGCTAGACATGTATTGAATGCTGAATCACTTCATATCCTATATAACTCTCTGATTTTACCATATCTATCATATTGCTGTGAAGTGTGGGGAGTTAATTACAAGAGCTCTTTACATCCGGTAACCATCCTACAGAAACGAGCCATTAGAATCATCCATAATGTTGGTTATTATGAGCATACAAACCCACTCTTCAAAAAATCCAGAATTCTCCAATTTGACGAGCTTGTAGAATTTAAAATGGCTCAATTTATGTTCAAATATCTAAAAAGTTGTTAACTGAGCACATACAGAGCATGTTTTCTGAAAGAGAAGTGGGGTATAATTTAAGGAGTTACTCAAACTTAAAGATGCGCAAGTTGCGAACAACAAGAAAAAGCTTCTGTATTTCAATTAAAGGTGTAAAGTTATGGAACAACTTAAATGAAGTTTTAAAACAAAGCAATAGTTTAATACAATTCAAAAGAAAATATAAGGAGGTCATTTTCAATAGAGATAGACATATGAGTGAGAGAAAGCAAAAAATTGAAGAAAACAACTTGGTGTAAGGGTTTGGAAAGACAAACCAGCATAAAAAGGGAATTGTTTAGGTAAATATTAGTAACTGCTGACTACCACTTTGACTTTCACTTGACTTTGATTTTTTTAAATAACAGTAGGACTGTAAGTTTTCAAGTGTTTAGGGGGTAGGAGTTAATAAGTTTTCACTTCTTCCTACCCCATTTTTAACATATGTTCATTGAAACAAATATCTGTATTTTTCTCTTCTTTTTTATGCACTTCTTGTTATTGTGCACTATTTTATTTTTATATTTGTATCATGTTCGAATACATTTCAATTTCGAAAAGGCTCCCAGCGTTATCGCGCACCTCGCTCTGCTAGCTGCTCCATCTTCACCAGTCGTTTTCCACAATGGCGGTCAGACAAACAAAACAAGCCGGTAAGGAACCAAACAGGAAATATGGATAAGTGTAGAGTGGATGTAGATTTTTACTTTCTTTTAAATATATGTTAAGTTTGCAAAGTGCAAGTCATACAAAAATCATACACCAGAGTATAAAGCATACATATATTTAACAAATTACAGTCTAAGAAAAAATATACTCTGCCCAAAACAACAATAGAAATAATAAAAAACATGCAATAACAGAGGGAAAGAGAAGAAAGAAAGATTAAAAAAAAACAAGCCAGGGAAGTTATTTAAGTAACCGTTACACTGCGCTGATCACCATTTACACTTTAGGATAGAACTACCTATCTATGAAGGCATGGGCGGAAACTGAGCGGTGTCGGGTTAGTCTTCTCTGAGAAAACCGGCTGCCAGATACTACAGAACTTATTAGTGGAGCCCTTAGCATCATACCGCAGGAGCGGATGTAGATTGGACCAATCAGAGGCCTCCTGTCTGCTGTCACCTACAATCAAGAGGTGCAGCGCTGTCTGCGGAAGGGGCGGGGCATATCTGCGTTTACTGCAACACACACTCATGATATCTGAGTATAAACCAGCCTTTAACCCTCCTCCCTTACCCCCCCTGATCATCACTCCTTCCCAGGTGACTTTACAGAGTCTCTGCTGTAAACAAAGGAAATGCAGCGAAGCCTTCTGTCATCTGGCTTTACATCCGGTCCTAAGAGCCAGAGAGACGTGAACAGTAAGAGCTGCAAGCCTGAGGAACACATTGACTAATATGTAATCAGAGTCAGCAGGCTTGACCTAACTGCATTGTTCTGCATTAATATTTAAGCTCTGTGGTGCCCACTGGCAAAATGGACTGCCATAGTTTGTGGTTATTTATAATGTAGCCAGAAATGAGTCCTGGGGGGCTGCAGATCGGATCAGTTGCAGCAGAAACACGGGAGTCATCAGCTGCTCGCAGATAGAACATACTAAGACGTGTTTTCAGTTCAGGCTACGTTCTCTGCTCCCGCTCTGTGGATCTCTATCCCGTCGGCCTAGTTGTAACTGATTAAAAGGTGCGGTGCGTCTTCATGAGGTTTGTTATGCTTTTTACTTCCACCTTACATCTCAGCACCACAAACCTAATTGTTCTACTTCCTGTTTTAAATGCATAGACATGGAGCAGAGAACAGGTAGAGAGGACGTGCATTTCCTGCTAATTCTGCCCTTGGAGAAGGAAGACCAAAATCAAACGCTTCCTGTCTGTCATCATCCTCATAAGAGGCAATTAGTATTATCCTGGCGTCATGCAGGACGTGACCGTGGAGTCATAAAACATGGAGCTGTGAGGACTAAAGTCTCCTTCTGGGTGTGGTAACGCATTCGTCTGGTTTGTCTGTTGCAGCGAAGCAATGATGAGAACGGGAACTGCTCCGGGGGCAGCATGGAGTTCCCCACCACCAACCTGTACGAGCTGGAGAGTCGGGTCTTCACTGACCACTGGTCTATACCCTATAAGAGAGAGGAATCCCTGGGCAAGTGCCTCATCGCCTCCACCTGCCTTGCACGGCATGGTAAGAGCGTTTTGCTTTTTTATTCACGTTTCTAAACAAAATGCGTCATCATGTGGGTGGGATGTGTCGCTGGACCATGTTGGCGTATTTTTCTTCCTCGGTTTGAATCTAACGTCTCCCTCGCCGCCAGGCCTCACGGACGCCGATGAGAACTGCAAGCGGTTTATGGATCGGTGCATGCCGGAGGCCTTTAAGAAGGTGAGCGGCGAGGAAATGAAGCAGCCGCCTGCCAGATTGATTGGCACTCATTTACCAGCTTTCTCCTCCTTTATCACCAGCTATTGACCAGTAGTGCCGTGCACAAGTGGGGCACAGAGATTCACGAGGGGATCTACAACATGCTGATGCTGCTGGTGGAGCTGGTTGCAGAGAGGGTGAAGCAGGACCCCGTGCCCGTAAACCTGATGGGCGTGCTGACCATGGTGTGCTGCTTCTCTTTGAAATATTCTACCTTATAAAGCATCTTTAATCCGTTTTACTAAACCCTAAATATGCCTTTAAAATGCAGCAGTGACTCACAAGTATTCACACCCCTGGGCTTGTCATGTTTTAACCACAAACCTCATCGTGTTTCTCTGAGATTGTATTTGGTTGCACAAAACAAAGTGGAAGGAAAGGCATCAATATTTTTAGAAACACTGTGTTTACCCTCATTTACTCCCATGCCCCCTAAATAAATCTGACGTAACTGCAAGGGGGGGCCCTTAACTATCAAGTGAACTTCATTGGATTTTGCTGCACTGTCAAAGCTCAGCGCGCACAGTCAGAACTATTCAGTTCATCGCTCGCAAATGTTAAGAATGTGGTCATACTGCCAACCTACAGGCAGACATGGCAGATCAGGAACTGAGTGCATCATCAGAGAAGCAGAGGCTGCTGGTATGCAGCTCAGGTGGAAGAGATGACTCTGATAACACAGCTGTTAGTGATAGAACCATCCTTTATAGAGGCGCAGAAGGAAATATGACATCACTGAAGAAGGCTGTCCCTGCAGTAAGGCATGGTAGTGGCAGCATCATGCTGTAGTGGTTCTACAGAAGGGAAAGAAGCCCTGGGAGAGGTTTCCCCCTAAACAAGAGTCAGAGCTACGGTGGAAAGGTTTACAAAAAGCTCAAAGTTTGCGATTGTTGAACTAAAAAAAGAAGAAAGCAATCAATGATTCTGCAAAATGTTTGCTCTACAGCAGAGGTCATGGATTAGCCGGACAAACCTGATTTAAAACATTTATAAATGACCGCAGGTTGTCCGATGGTAGTGTCTAAATTCACTTGCGCCTCT